GAACATTGTGCTGATTGGTGAATTTGTACTTCGCAATTGGTCCGGGTCATAACAGAAAGGGAGTTAAATGCTTCTCTTATGCTCAATGTTGCTTTGCTATAGAGCTAAAACTGTTTCATTGTTGGATTGTCTCAAGACTCAACTCAAGCGTTTTTGTTGTCTGCAATAGGATTAACGCCGCTTCTTGTGAGAGAGAGAAACACACACACACACACACACACACACACACACACACACAAACACACACACACACACACACACACACACACACACACACACACATGGATGTACTGGCACACAATTGCGATGGAACATGGTAGTAAAAGTGAGAGAAAGAAACAGAAGAGAGTCACAAGATGAAGAGGATGCATAAAGAAGAAGAAGAAGAAGAAGAAGAAGAAGAAGAAGAAGAAGAAGAAGAAGAAGAGAAAGAAGGATGTAAGAACAAGACGGTTTTGGAGCACGAGGGGCAGAGTAGGACAATGAAGGGTAATGCAGAAAAGGAGAAAGAAGTACAACAGACAAGAAGTGGCTGAGGATATCAATCCCCCATCACTCGCAATGAGCAAAGGCAAGCACAACCAGTGCGTATTAGAGTCTATGAATGAATGTCACCGCAAGATGTACGCTGTGCCTCTGTAGCTCTAAAAATACAACACGCCAAAAAAAAAAAAAAAACAGAAGATATGTCAAGCGTCCCAAAAAATCATGCCGGGCACCCCAGACATGATGTCCCAGGTTTGCTGTGCTACATACGCATCAGAGAGCACCTCTGCTCCTACAGCACACGGACACACTACGTGCATACAGAGAAGCTAAAAATAAAAATAAAAACACAAACACATCTACACTACTCGCTGCCCTCGCAGCCTCCCCTGCCTCGCCCGAGCCCTCTCCCCGCCGCCTCATCATCATCATCTTCCACAACCATGCCAAAAAAAGTGCCAAGTACCCCAGACCTGGTGTAAGAGGTCTGCTATACTACATGTGGATCGTCGTCTAGCCCCATGTGCTCCCTACTGCAAGTGCATCCGTACACAGAAATGTGAAGAAAAATAATGCGAGCACATCTACGCTACTCTCATCTCTCCCGCCCCCTCCCCCCCATCGCCTCACCGTCCTCATCATCACCATCACTATCCACAACCATCACTCCGCCACCCTCTGCGGGACCACTGCTTTGGGTGGGGTAGTCTTCACAATGATGACATGGATGCCTCTTATTCCGCATCTGCCCTTCCATCGCTCCTGCCACCATTGCCACAGCCTGTGTGTCTCTCTCTATGCCACATGGTCCCCAGTCGTACGCTCCTGCGCAATTAAAACCCCTCTGCTTAGGGGGGGGGGGGAAGTCGGCTGTGCCTGTGGGTGTACCGCCAATCATGACACACTGCCCACTCCCTACACATCACTGTCATCCGCTGCCCCCTGGGCTGTCCACGACCACGCTGTCATCCCCCCCCCCCCCCCCCCCCCCCCCCCCCCCCCCCCCCCCCCACCCACCCAGATGTTGTCTCCCTTCGTCCCTCCTGTCGGTGTACCAAACCCCCGCTATGCATGACTTTCAACCAACATGCGAGCAGAGGAGATGCAAAATGCCTGTGGGGTCTGCTGCACGGGCACTTTCCGATTCCCCCTCGAGCACAACGTCTGCAACAACGTATGTCAGGAAATCGTGTCGGACTCCGTGGGGTCTGCGGCAGGGGCGTATCGATCCAACCTCGAGCACAACATCAGCAGTAATGTATGTGGGAAAATGGCATCCGCGGGGTCTGCCGCAGGGGCGAAATGTCACCTCCTGGGTGGAGAAGTCCTCTTGGTCGCATGCAAATGTCATCTCCCTGGTGGAGATGGTGGCGGACAACCCTCTCGCTACCCCTCTGATATAGTCGTGCGGTTCATCCATAAGGGGATGGGCTCATGTATGCATCATGTAGCTTCTCGCCCCACTTCGACTTCATGACACAGAAGGGAACCCCACCACAAATGATGAATCTCGTGTACACCGAATTGAGCTCCTCCTGGATAGACTTGTGGATGATTTGGACCATGGCCTGCCTAACCCTCGCAGCGGACCCTTTAGGTGGTTTCAAATCCCTATTCACCCCAAACAAAGCGTTATACATGTAGTCAGGCACGTCCATCCCTGCCTCCTGTGCTCGTTCAAGCATGTCTTTCAGCCCCTCCGCTGACTCAGAGACGGTGGACTGGTCTGACGGTTGCGACTCCTCTTCTCTGCATACCTCCCCTCTCGATGTCGCAAGGGGGAAGGAGGAGCAGGTCTCTGAGCTGTGCCTTGAACACGCGCAGCATGAACTGTCTGCTCAGCCTGGCGAGCAGGTTTGGTCATCCGTACGTTCTTCGCACGAGGCATCTCTCACATGAAGAAAGCACAGGTGGGAATGGATACGAGAAGCCCTACTGACACAACAGGAATCCCCAGGCTCAGGCCACACACACAGCAATCCACCTGCAATGCAAAAACAGGCTATTGTCAATTCGTCACTCATCAAGCACTCGACAATCAAAACGAGGAAAGACGAGGCAGAAGAAGAAGACAGAAGACAGAAGAAGAAGAAGAAGAAGAAGAAGAAGAAGAAGAAGAAGCATTCAGGGTTGCAGACAGTTCCGTCCAACGTTCACAGACTCATCAGGAGGCTGAACCCTCAACCGTTTGCATACTGTGAGCGATAATCAGCCTCTACCCCACCTGCAGGTACGCACCAACAGTCCACCGACAATTGATACCCCGAGGCGGGCAACAACCAACACTGCCCTCCGCGCTACGTGTGACCAAAATCACTTCTTCCTAATACTACTCAAAGCACCCGAACGCTCATGCCTGAAACACAAAGTTCGGTTAGTGCTACCTAGCGAGGGCCTTCAGAGAAGCCAGAGAAGGCTATCATATCCAGAGCTTGGTGGCAGCCATAGCCAGGGCAGCTTTCGAGAAAGTTGAAAGTTAGCTCTCACCAAGGAGGGAGAAAGGTGGTAGGTGGTAGGTTTTTTTGCTCTATCAATGAGGAGGTCGTCAAGGTGGCTTTGCGCGGACCACCATCCTGGCAACCATACCTGCAGGCAACATCTGGACTGAGAAAGAGGGAGAATGCACTCTCCACTCTCCCAAAGCAATAGAGAGAAGGTGTCATTCTCTCTCTCTCTCTCTCTCTCTCTCTCTCTCTCTCTCTCTCTCTCTCTCTCTCTCTCTCTCTCTCTCTCTCTCTCTCTCTCTCTCTCTCTCTCCCGCCCCCACCCGCACCCCCCCCGTTGGCTGATCAGTATTCTAATCCCCATTTAGCACAGAGAGAGAGTTTGTGTGAGGGAGACAATGCCACTCACCCGCCTCCTCCGCTTCCTTTTCCACCTTTCCTTGATCATTCAAGCTTGTGGCGCATTACCGCGAGCTTCCTTTTCTACCGTCTTCCCCCAAGCACATCGCACCCTCGTACGGTATTGCACACTAACGTCTTCTAGCTCATTACAGTCTCTCCCACTCTCTCTATATCTGACCAGAAAGATCAATTAGATGGTGTGTTGAGTTCCACGGAAGACCGTAATCAGCTGGCCATACTCTGTGGAATTGAATAAAGGCGGCATCAGCCATCGCCACTGCTAATACACAACGAGTCCAAGGTTAACTAAGTAGGAGTCGAACCTGTGACCTCTCCTTTTTTTTTTTTTTTTTTTTTTTTTAATTCCACCTCATGACTGCTGTTAGAGGCAAACGGATCACTAAAACCACCAGAACCTACGAGCCTCTCTTTCCCGGTGCGGATCTCTGCTCCACGTCAATTAAGAACAATCTGCTGTGGATGCGTTTTTTCCTTGTCTTTTTGCCTGGTGCCACCGGCCGAGTCCCTAAAGACACAGCGCATTTTTTGCATTTTTTTATTATTATTATTATTTATTTTTATTTTTTATTTTTTTTAAGACACAGCGCTCTAACAGCCGGGGAAAGCATTGGTTGTTTCACCAATCAATAGGTAATGTGACCTGGGGTGAAAGAGAACCCCCTGGTCCTTTGGAACATCCGTCAACGTTAAAATTGGAACGAACGATACAGAGACAATTAGCATGGCCTCAGCGCATTCAAAAGGGGGGAAAAAAAACGACAGAGAACCCCCAGGTGGAGTACTTTCCCCTCACCCCACACCGGCGAGGATACAATACAAATTATTACTAAATTATTAAATTTTAAATTTTAAAATTATTAAATTGTGCAAGATACTGGGGCCTCCCAGCTGTGCAGCCCGGGCCGGGCATCCGGGCATAATTAATATTAATATTAATCCGTGACTCGCTGAAACTGCACTGAGATTCCCTGACTGCGCAGAGGATATGCGGTGGGGGGAGGAAGGGGGCCAGGGGAGGGAGAAAAGGGTGTGGGAGGGAGAAAAAGGGGGGGGAGGGGGGAGGGAGAAGGGGGGGATTACATCCAAAGCTGCCAGAGCCCTTTTCCTTCAAATACATCTGACCATCGGGAACGGATAGCATGTTCCCCCCCCAAAAATGAAACGGCGACCGAGGTGGAGTTAAAAATTGGTCCTTCGGGAGATCCGTTAAAATTGGAACGATACGGAGAATGAAGATTAGCATGGTCCCAAAAAAAAGAAAAAAAAGAAAAAAAAAACATTGGCATGGTCCCTAGCGAATGGATGACTTGCATAAATCGAGAAATGGTCCACACAGAAAAAA